AGGTACAAGAGGGCCCTTGACTTTCGGCGCTACTTCCATTTGAAGTGGGGAAGCCACCAAACAAAAAACCAAGGAAGCAAAAGGGAACCACTCATCCTGTTTCAGTTTAAAAAAAAAAAAGGATTTAGAGGTGGAATCCGCTGAACAACTTTCGCCGGAAGTGCTTCTCAATAGAAAATGGGCTCGCCATTGAACAGCGCCCAAACAAATCGTCAGTGACTCAGTTGCCATCGCGCAGCCACTGTCTTTGTGCAATACAACTAAGCTCAACTACTGCCATTTGCGTACTGATGGATGGCCAAAATCCTGCCAGCAATGGATGAACCCCAATGAATGAGACAAACCCATCATGAGTTGGATGTCATCCTTAGGCCGCCGCAGGCTGGGGCTTACTTTTCCTGGGCGCAAGCGGTTTTGCAGTTCCCAAAACGTGGTTTCTCGGGGCAGGGGGGAGGCAAATGACCTGTGGCTTCTCTTGGAGCCATGGGGGAAGTTGAATAGTGTGGATGATCCAGCGCTCAGGCCACATGGGAGACCCTCTTATAATAGCCCAAAAATGCCTTCTCGGCCAGGTGCCTTGAGCAACAGGTGTGGTTAAGCAGGGGTCCTGGCCATCCAGTGCCCTTTGGGGATTTTAGCGCATGGGCGTAGGAACCTGGGACAGCCACGCGTGAACACGCCTATGGGAGAAAAATGTGCCCTGCGCGTACCCAACATTCATTGCGGTACAGCACCCTCCCCAGTCCAGACCCAACCCATCGAAGATGTACAGGCGAAGGCCTGCGTGCTGAAGGGTCAGGCTTTGTTGTTCGTTGCTTGACGCCCCGCCTGACCCTCGCCAAAGGAGGCACGTGTTCCGATTTCAATCGGCAATGCCTCCGCTCCTGATCCCTCAACAGTGCCACTTCAACCTTGCAAAAGTACCAACTTGGCGAAGCGGGCTTGCACCCTCGAGGCAACCAACAGGGGGCTTGACGCCGAAAAAGCCGCCCAGATGGCGCAAGTCAATTGATGGCAACAAGCCAAGGGCAAGCCATAGCGAGTCGCCCTGCACAAATGCAGCTGGGTCACGCCGCCGTAGGCCTTGCCACTTGCTCCTCATTCCTGCAAACTCAACTGTCCAAAATTGGTTTTTGGCGGAAGCAACATGATTCCAAAGTCGATAGAGCCCTGGCCAGGGCCCTTACTACTGGTAGCGTTGGCAGGGGGCAAAACCCCTTCGAAATGCATGGAGAAGCTTCTAAGAAGGCAAGCTTCTTTGAAGGGGTTGATTCGTAGAGGGCTCAACCCCTTCTAAACAGCATTGCATTCGGGTGCTGAGAAGTGTTTGCCAAGGCAAAGCGCTGACTGCACCCATGTACTGACTCCTTTTGAATCCCTTGGTTGCGCACTGAATGGAGTCGGTTTTGCATGGGCGTCTCTCAATTCTGAGGGCCCTTTCTTCCAACTCGTGGATTTCAACTCGGACAAGAGGCCGTCGGTTCCGTTTAGCAAGGGTCGAGCCGAGCTTGTCCAGCCTGTGTCTTTACAAAAGCGAGCCGGGTCTCCTGGGCTCCTTCCAGTATCCAAAAACCCACTGCTCCACCGCATCCGCTGACTCCGCTGGTATTTGGGCGACTTTTTGACGGGGGCCCCTGGTATCCCCAAAGGCCCCGTGATACCCCGGATTGGTTCTTGCGCCGGTCCTGAGCTTCAGAGCCGGCGACGGCTCTTCCCGGGACCTGGACGGATGCATTGAGTTGAGTTGGGCTGGAAATATGGGTGTGGGCCAAAAATAGGTGCCCAAAATGGAACCCTGGCAAATGGACACAAAGTCTAGAACCTGCGGTCCCCGGGTGGTTTATATGTTCCATCGCCGTTTTCCCCCATGGCTTAAGTATACACTCTTATCATCCGGAGGAACCTAGTCATATAGTCAGAGGAACCGCTTTCTGCCAGCAGCTGCTTCCTCACCGCAAACTGGAAATGACGTACCTGCCCTGGTTTAAGAAGATCACGCCGTTTGCCGGGGTGCTTGCTGTGTTTTTCCGCATGGAAGGGATCCATAATTCCGACCCGTAATTCGTACGGAACTGCACTACAGCAACAGCATCTGAATATGGCATGGAGCAAAGGGAATTAAAGATTCATTCTAGATAACTCCCACTTGCTGCCTTTGAAAAGCCAAGCACAGTCAAAGGCATGAGCAAGTAAATATGTGTTCAACAACCCAGGCTCTTGACCTTGCTTCGCCTGCGAGCAAACGCGCCTCTTCCGCGGCGGAGCCTGACAAGTGAAAAGTAAGAAAGGGGAGGGCCCCACGTGTTCCAAAAAATGAGACCTACCCCAAAACAAACTAAACATACAAAAACTCGCCTTTGGAGGGAATCTGACTTTGGACCTCGTTTTGAGGCTGCAATTTATATACGAGGGCCTAGCTGATTGAAGCCCACGCGTTCCAAGCAGCGGTCAGACGTGACAAACTTGGAAGCTGGGCTTCCTCGGAAACCGGCCAGGAGTGTGGCTGAACTTGGGTGCTTCATGTGATCCTTCTGATACACTGTTGCCACAAAGGACGGTTTGGCTTTTTCACCAAAAAGGCAGCCTGCGTTCGTTGCCCCGAAGGAGGTTCATTTGTTGGCTAGGAAGACGCACATTTTCACAAACACCTGGAAGAGAACGGTACTCCGGCCGCTAAGATATGATTGAAGCATCATAGCCTAGCCCGCTAGGCGGAGGGAGGGAGCAAACACCACTATTTATGCTGGTGGCTGGCAGGTGTTGCAAATCCGTCTCAAGGAATGCCTCCAGCTTTGCTTGGATTCACCTTGGCTCCCTGCAGAAGGCAACAGCCATCTCAAAACCATAAAAAGGCTGAGAACAGTGTATGCTTTGGAAAACGGACGGTGCTCCCGTGTATGTTGTGGTCAACAGGGTCCCTCTTGCTCTTCTTTTTTTTGAGGGAGGGGGGGGGGGGGGGGGTACTTTTCAGGGGACACCAAGGAAAACCAAACACTTGGGAAGGGCTTCCCACTGTTGACGCCCAAGCGCCTCGTCGCCCTTTCCTACAGCTGGCTCAGGAGGTTGCGGGCCGAAAGGCACACCGCTCGAAGGCATGGTGCCTGCGACAAGCGTCTAGCTGTGGATCAAAAATAGGTACTCAAAATGAAACCCTAGCGGAACCCAAATCTATTTCTAAGCAAACCTGAAAAGGACACCTATATATTTTTGTATTTTCCTCTCCCTTCCCTGCAGTTTCCCCCCAGTGAACATGCAACCTGACTTTCGGGACCCGGCCCCTAAGGAAAATGGTCCAAACCAAGACCCGTCAGATTCCATGTAGAATTGGTAGGGTAAAATTCACGGCCCCCCCCCCCCCAAGTTTTCCGGGTTTCAGGGTGGGAGGACCTCGAGGCATCAGGGGCTTTGGCCTCGTTGCCGCATGGCGTCCAGCAGGCCGCCCGGCCGCGCTCGGGCCTCGCGGAGAAGCGTTCGGAGCCGGGAGATCCAGGGTGTGTTGGGCGACCTCGAGTAAGGCCGAAAGAGCGATACTTAGTTAAAACCAAAAGACATAAGTTTTTCTTCGCCATGGTTTTACTCGACCAAAACAAGGTGTTTGTTTCACTGGGAAAAGGCAACAAAGGCCCCATCCAAGGGAAACAAAGGTGCCGTTACAAACACCTACCAAGGAAACACGGGTCAGTGTCAAAGACTGGGACCCGTGACCTGTCCATGGACTTTTTTAGATAGTTGCCATGACTTGCCCACGGACGGCAACACGCTCGATACATGGAAGAGTGGCGCAGGACACAACACACACACGCACACGCATTAGCCCTCGAGCAGCTACATGGCACTAAGCATCATGAACCTTGAGCACTTGGCACGCCAAGTAGAGAAGACATACGAATACCAGTGAGGCCGCCCAAACAGCCATGCGCTCATGCTCGCCAGGGTTAAAACTTCCTTGCTCGGGGCCCGTGCAACTTTTGTAACACAGCCTTGCAGAATTCATTGGTACCTATTTCCACCCAGAGTTCGCTGAAAACCGCTCAGCCACTCAGCCAGGAAATTTGATGCAACTCGCAGATGGTCTTCAGCAGGGGCCTGGAGGTTTGAAGAGAAACCCGCCACCATGTCGGGTTCGGATTGATATACCTTGTGGATAGGAAGTGTTTCCCTCAAAGTGAAGGCTCCCCTCCACCAGGGGATGCAATAGCCGGTGTTCTACAAATCTTGAGTCCACATTCTGGATTATTCAGCACCATGGCTTGGATTCCATATTCCCCGGCGCAACCTCCTTTCCCCTGCCAACTCGCAGCACGCACTTTTCTGCCGACGACGCATCGGACGACGTAGCCACCATGTCGCCGGGCATCGAAGGGGCCGGACTGGGACCCAGAAACTCTGACTCGCCTGACTTGGCCTCTTAAGTCTTCCCCAGCATCATCTTCCCTCTTTTGGGGTATGTATGGGTATGTCAGGCGCATGTGACTTTCTGGTCAAAGTTGGGCCCCTTTGAAGATAGCTCAAAGCCAAGCGTGAAACAGGACTTCTGAAGATGCGCGAGAATCAGCCCGTTCGCCCGAGTGGCAGGAAAGCGATTTAACTGGGCGTGGGTCGCCCATTTAGGTTGACCTTTGGAGCCGGAGAGGCGCATGGATGAATTTGCCCATGCGAAGCTTTGGAAGCAGCAATGATTGGCCACAAATGGGTGGTTTCTAGAATGGAGAGTTCCACTTGGTCGGTTTCATTTCAGGCCAACATGGTGATTTGTTGAACTAGAATAGTTGGTTTGCGTTCGAGTCTCATTCATCCAGGGGTCCCAATTTGTGGCGCTGCAAAACAATTAGGAACCATCTCAAGTTCATGCTTTTTTATGTGGGGAACCCACCCTACCCAAAAAAAACAGAAGACTGAACGACTTTGTCTTCTTACTCTCTTCTGGCTAAAGGGATCCTTGCCTTGACCTAACCCAAAGGAAATCAAGCCAAATTCTCACCATGGGGCTGCAACTGTTCCATGGCCTCCGGCACCAAAGTACCACACCACGGCGCGCGTTCAGGGCGCGAGCGCCTGGGCGACAACGCCTGCGCGCTCAAGCGTCGGCTTGGACGCAGTCCTTGGCAAGGCCATGTTGGTTGAGCCGTCCCCGGTACTCCCACAAGGAAATGGTCAACTGGCGAAAGGGTTTAGAGGGCGTTGCACGCCCACAGTCAAAAATTCCTCAAAGAGTGCTGAGAAGGGGAAATGGCGGTGACGTGCACAGGTGGGGGACGTGTTCCCCAGATCAGGGAGTTAATGTGCACCAAGCATCATTGTCTTGGGGGATTGATCCAAATTCATGGAAGACTTTTTGGTGCAGTCAGAATGACGCCGCAGCGACGGGTTTTCGCGAAAATAATCTTCCGCCATGAGGCGGCAAGGGCATGCCAAGAGCAATGAGTTTCCCTTGCTGAATTCGATCAAACAAACGCAAACACAGAAACAGAAAGACACATGAGGGTTTCCAAAATGGTCCCTTGAATTCCTTGGTGTCCTCTTGATGTCCTTGCAATACCAACTGAAAGGGGGTTCACCAGTTGAGTCACAATCAAAACCTGGTACTAACATGGTTGACCCAGAACCACGTAAGGAAATAATTACACAGGCGGATTCTGGCGGTTTCTGGCTGGGACTGTCCCTAACCTTCAGCTGCAGGTTTTGATCGTCAGTTGGAGAACTCACACAGTCACAAACACCCCAGACCTCGAGCCAAGCCGCTTCAACGAAGCCCTCCGCCAGCTGCTGACGTCGCATTGACCTGGCCCAGTGGCAGCCCTGAAGTCTACAGCTGTGCAACACAAATGACTTGCTGCTGCGATAGGTAGGAAATGTGGGAATGAACCCAGGGGTCCCCTTAAGAGAAACCACAAGGGATGGTGTAAAAGGGTCATTTCCTCATTCCCTGCTGAGCACCAGCAAAATGATCATCCTTGGGTGCCACTTACTAGAACCCGTTTGGGGTCTGTTTCAAGTTGTTTTGGCTTCTGTTTCGCATTCCACTCAGGACAACGTGCGACAAGGATCGCTCCAGTCGAGCCAGGAGGGAAGCAACAAGGCGTAGATTCCTGGATGCAGCCATCAGAATAAGTCCCTCCAAAAGCAAGACTTAAACAAATATAGCTCAATAACAATCGCGGAATGCCCAGTTGGAGAGTCTTCACCATGGGTCCTGCCACGGCCCAATTGGTGACAGGCAAGCTCGCCACTGTGTCGGAGGTATAAGCACCTATGTTCACAAGTTCCCTTCATGGCAAAAACAAACAAATACTACGCACGGTAGGAAACAAAGGGTCTGAAACATAGTAAACCCATTGCATTTCCTCTGCTGTCCACCAAACTTTTACGTGCTACTTAACACCCAGCAAGGGGCTGGCAGTTTGACTGAGCCTAGCTCTACTGCCGATCTTCCGATTTTACAGGATGTGCTTGAGCTGCATGCCTGAGCAAGGGAGTGCAGGTAATCACCCTTTCTGTGATGCCAGTATTGGTCATTCCCATGATTCTTTTGTGACCTCAAAAAAATACCCCACACTTTGACCCCCTCCACCCACCCAAGGTAGCGACCTAAACCCCACCTGGACCGCTCCGAGCCTCATCTTCAGCTTGTACATGGTAAAGACAATGCCGGTGGGCACCAGGATCAAGACCAAGGATGCCATCGGCAGGCTCCAGTACCATCTTCCCGTCGGCATCTCCTGAATCTGAAACTTGTACCCCTGCAGATTCACCTGGAAGGCGTCCCCCAAAACAACGCCTCCTTTACAACTACGGGGCTTTGTCGGCTCCATGTTAATCGGGGGTGGGTGATGTTATCAGTGATGTTTCAAGAACACCTCACCAAAAGACCTCATCACAGAGGTGGAATCTCCAGCAGGTTGGCGAGCGCAACATTTTGACGAATAGATCGGACCTTGCAAAAGGGGCAAGCAGCGAGTATCACAAAACCCCAGGAGCGCTACATATTCAGGACGGTCAACCGCTGACAGCTCACGAACCCGGAAAAGGAGCAACACAAAAAGGCCATGGTATATTTTTATTTTTTTTGCGGGTACCCATTTTTTTGATGGTTTCAAATTTGGAAACCGCAAAGGCAGCCACCCATTTATTTTGGGGCGTCCCCAAATCTGTGACACACGTGACACGTCGCCGGAGATTTTCTCCTTGGAGGGCACCACGGGCACCGGGGCCTCCTGATTGTACTGCCCCGCCCAGGGGCTGGGAGTATGCAGCCCGCCGAAGATGGCCAGGGGAATGAAGGAGAGCATGGGGATGAAGTAGCCTCAGGCTCAATAGGCGCGCCTTTGGGGCAAAATGGAGGGTTTTTTCCGATAAATGGAAGAACCCCATCTAAACCAGGGCACTTGTAAATTGAAGAAACCCTATCCAAACCAGGAATCGCCCTCTATCTTTTAAGCAAACCAACCAAAAAGGACATGCTCAGACTCCCCCGCCATGGGCTCACGAAAGAAAAAATGAAGGGGCCGCCATGGGCAGGTGTTTGCAGGTGTCTGTTGCCGGGTTCAAAAGGAAATGTGGAAAATCATGGGGCCTGATCTAGATGATATTCTGCGACTCGCCTTCGCGAAAGCTCCGCAAGAAAGGAAAACAAGCGCGCTCCAAAGTCCCTGAAAGGAGGTCTCTCAAAAAAACAAGCAAACAAACAACCAAACCAAACCAAACAAAACCGAACCAAGCCAAACAAACAAACAAACAAACAAACAAAGAAACAAAGAAACAAATAAACAATCAAACACGCAAAGAACCAACAACGCAAATAACATAAAAGTAAGCACACAAGAACCAAACTGTAACAAGCAAACAAGTAGGCTGGCAAACAAGAACACAACGAGGCAAACATTCCAGACACACTCAAAGGATATGAAGTGAGGTCAGGCGGCAGGTCAGCACAAAGCACAGCATGCCGATGCCGCACCTAGCTGCTATGGTCATGGTTTGCGTTAAAAGAAACCCTTGAGGGGGTCGATGACCAGCAAGTGCCAACGTCAAGCACCAATTCTTTGTGGCGCAAAGGTGAAATGAGACCTGGAGGCCCATCTTCCGACAGCCAATGAGATTGCGGCCCGAACCACTGAGCTCTGGGACATGCAGCCTTTGCGCAGGGCCCTTTGTTTTTCCCTCCCAAGCAGTCTGGCCCATTCGAGTCGGCCGAACCGCTGGTTCCCAGCGTCACGTCAGCCCGGCCTCTGAAAGATACTCAGCTGCTGGAGCTCGTTGGGCTCTTCGCCTGACCGGGGAAGGGGGTGGAAAAACTTCCAGCGCAGACAGAAAGAAAGAAACCCAAGGATTCCAAGGCTTCGAACACCACCGGCGCGAAAAGGATAGCTTCTTGACTTCTCGAATTCCATGTCCCTGGCTGAGTGAAGGCAACTGTTCAGCAGGGATGACTCGAATGAGAAGTGGAATGCTGAGGTCAGGATAGGAGGCTCCCACTGATCGAACGCAGCTTGTCGTTTCAAACAATCGTCGAGATTCGTAGCGCATGAGGTGATTGCGCATCATGGAAAGCAGCAATTGCTTGATTGAACTGGCAAAAGCGGGCATACACATCTATGAATCTGTCATGCACATGTATATGTACATGTATATGCACATGTATATGTACTTGTATATGTATATGTATGTGCATATGTATATATATATATATATTAGAAAAAATAATGTGCATCGTTCCGAATACGTAGGGTTTCTCTCTTCCTTTGATGCCTCGCCCTGCGTTGGGGGTGTAGCAGCTATGGGATGCGGATGTGCCCACGTCCCTAAGTACTTTGCATGGGCTGCTGCCTGGGTCTTCGAAACGCATTGCCCCAAATGAGCGAAACGCTGGTGCCATGTTCGGCGGCCAAGTGCGAAAATTGGACTCCCAGTGTGTGCCCCAAAAAAGGTCACCCGATGTCACACGTTTTGCCAATCCCACCAAGCTTTTTGGGTGGGTGCTACACAGTCAGAAACAAGGCCATTCCTCCACGCTCCTTGGAAAAATCCTTACAATGCGGTGCTTAGCACCCAGTAAGAACCCAGCAGCAAGAACCCAACCCGAGCCAGCCCAGATCTCTCCACTGTCTGCCTTCCGGCTGCATCTCTTGAAAGCCATACTCATCCTCGCGTCGCTCCATGGCTGGCGACGCACTGTTTTTTTTCTTCCAAAATCCCCGGCTGGGGCTGGAGACCCATTCCGCAGAAACGGCCGCGGGGGCGGTTTAGCCTGGCTTGGTCTGGCGAATCACGCTCTGCCTTGCTCTCAGTTTAGTCTTCCCCAGTCTAAGACTCCAGTAGAGAGGTTAGAATAAGGGTGCCCTGTTCCCCGTAGTCTATTTTAGTAGGGGAACCCTGCCCCAAAAAAGAAACGGTAAACGGGCGCTACTGGGGCACCTAAAGTTGGTTTTTTGACCCCTGAGGCTGCGATGCAAAGACATGCAGATCCACAGATCCTATTCTAAATGGAGCATGCTGTTGACCTGGTGATACTCAAATGCTGAAAGTGCATGTTGTTTCATGTTTCAAAACTGACCACACGGGGCTGATGATTGAAGATTTGCTTAGACTCCCTTTTGGCATCTTGGGGTTGATTGAAGTGAAAGTTATGACCCAGATACCTTGGTTTCATCTAATTTTCGGGTAGCACGGGGCTTTTTCGAGCAAAAGGTTAGCTTCCCAAAACCTCTTGCAGTAGGACATACGGCTGTGGGGCAAGAATAGGCACCCAAAATGAAACCCTGAATGGAAGCATGGACGAAAACCTGCGGTCCATATCCTGGTGGTTTAGTTTTGACTCTCCCACGCCCCACCCCGCCCCCCCACCTCCCCCCCCGGTGTTGGTCGCCTGCGCCAGAGCCTCAAGGCTCACCGCCCGGGCCGTCTCAGAGATGGGGGGCGCTACCTGCGCCTCCAGGAAAAAACAGAGATGAGGTGAACGCGGCCTTACAAACGGTGGGTGGACGAAATCCTGCACCACTTGAAAACCATAGGATACCATTGTGTGTTGGTACTTGCCGGGGAATCATCATTCCGGGGCTTCTTAGGTGGTGCATTTTTGTGTCCATCCACAGGATCCCCCCCTTTTTGGCTCCGGAGGCTGTGCCGGAGGTCGGAAGCGAAATATGAGGACCATCCGTGCAACAGCACTGCTGGCGAACTCTACGACGGCTCCCAGCGAAATTGACTCAAAGGCTTAAACCCTGGTGACCTGAACCCGGGCTACCTGAATATGATTGATGAATTACCCTGAGCAAATCTTAAAAAGTGACATGCCAAGAGGCTCATGAACTAGTTTGACAAGTGGAAATCCTGCCTTTGACTCTTTTCTGCAAAGGCAGAAGGAGGGTTTAAGTTTAAACAAGGGCAGGCGTGCCGGGTACAGGGGTCCTGCTTAAACCTTTGACCTCACTTAGGCACCAGTCACCAACTACCTGCTCCGCAATTTCACTGCCAGTCCACTTTGGCTCTGCTCACATTCGATCCGGACGCTTCTATGACATGTGTTTCCCATTCGTTTCCACTAGCCCATCCGCAGGGCTGCAGTTGGGTCCAGTTGGGTAGATCGCAAGATATTAAATTTTCCCCATGCTGGTTGAATCACCCTTGCACTTCCCCAAAGAAGAGAAACTTGTGCCCTCTACTTTGAGCCTACTTCAGCGCCGGTGCAGGCCTTGACCAGCGCAGGCGAAAGAGACATTGACCTGAGGTTATGCACCGGTCAGATCCCTCGATGCCCCAGGCAATTGCTTCCAACCGGCTTTGCTTACACCAAGGTAGACACCAGCCCTGGATTAGTCCTTTCTGGACATTTAGCACCCCTGGGTTTAAGCCCACCTTCGCAATATGCGGAATCCTGGTTGCTTCCACCTCTATCACCTCGTTCTCTCTCCGTCAGCGACTGCTTGTTGCTTCATGTCACTTGCTGTGGACCATAGCTTGGGCTCATCAACCGCCCCATCCTTCAACGTGCCGAGAGTAAGAAGCATGTCCTTTTGGCAACATAGATGGCCCTGCTAAATGGAATGAAACCAATCTAAACCAGGGCCATCTATTTCTAGTTAAACTAACCTAACTAAACAGGGATCCTTACATTATACACCTGAACATTGCCTTGTAAATGGTGGTTTCCCTTTATTTTGGGTGGAAAAAGCCATGTTTCAAATGGTTGCAAAAGGTATTTTTTAAGGAGCCCCGCTAAAAAGGACGCCTCTGGCACGAATGCCCATGCCCCACTTTGCATCGGCAGTCACCTGCCATCCGCGGGCGCCAGGGCGAGCGACACTCCAAGACCCCCACGAGGAGCTGCCGCTGGAGTGCGTACCGCGCGAGCCTCGGGGAAAGGCGGGTTCCGGAGTACTCAACCAAATGAAAACATGTGTCTTATGTGTGGTTTTTGAATGAATTAATTGTTCATATTGTGATGGTTGCTTTATGAGCCGTGTTGCCTGCACAAGTTGCCCGTGCGCTTTTTTGTTTGGTCATGGACCAGCTGTGAAACCCTGCTTGTTGACTGGGTACACCGACCAGATCTGTACAGGTGTCTCCCCCATCCCGAAAAAAAGATGGGGAACTTTTTTACAAGAATAAGAAGTGGGTTCTACTTTCCCAGTTGCCCAAGAACCCTGAAACGCTCAGTGTGGCCAGGCAGCGCTTTGGGGGTTGACCGTTTTTAGCGGGCGAACCCAAACAGAAAAGCCATCTTCAATTTATGTCCACCAACCATGTTGGAATTTGTGTTCCAACTGTGAAAACTCATACCCAGCTTTGTTTGGGGGTAACTTGACTGAGACGCAAAGCCCCGCGTTGAGGCCGCGGCCCGAGGCTGTGCCGGGACCTAGGGGGAAGCGTGTGGCAAAGGTTGGCCACCATCTTGGTTCATACCCCCGCAAGAGATTCGTTGTTTGGATTTCCATTGGTATCATAGAAGTGGACAATTACCCTGAAGTGTTTTGGGTGTCCTTTGGAATGCTTCCCGCAAAATCCGAATACCGAGTTATTGCTGCTTAGGGGGAACAGTACACACACAAGGACGTCCGATGAATCTGGGAACCCGGCTTTCTTAGCTGCCCCCTTTAAAGGATGGAGCTCATTTGCCTCCTTGCTGTTGCACTGTACCTGCCTTTTCTCTTTGATGCATTTACCTTTTTAGGCTACCCTGTCTGTTTCTCCTTCCCTCTCCTTCCTTCCCTTTTTCCTTCCTTCCATCTTCCCGTCCTTCCTTTTGTTTTCCTTTCTTCAACATCCCTCCTTCTTTACTTCTCCTCAGTTTTATTTTATGTTGTCTTTCTTACTTGCGTGTTGTCATTGTAATGGTTCCTCTCGTTCTCCCTCTCTCACTCCCTCCATCTCCTTCTTTCAACTACGCTCGGTTGCTTTCTCCTCCCCTGCTAAAAGCTTAACTTTTAGTGGTCTGATTGGAGACCCATCACTTGGCAAAAAGCTAAGGTCCTAACATCCCTGGGCAAAATGCACCAAAGTACAGGCATCTCCGTCATCGACAAAGGCACGCGTTCTGGGCACTCCCCAACCCCAGCTGGCCTCGCAGCGCGGAGCCCGGCGACGCGCTGCCTGGGAAAGGTCGCCATTTCCCCGCTGGACGCCGGGCCGGGCTACTTGACCAAGTTGATCACTTCCTCCGAATAATACAGGTCTCCATGATATTACAATTTAGGGGGAGGGGGGACAACCGTTTTATTATTAGCGTTCAATAAATAAAATAACAATACGTAATAATAATAACAATAATACCCCCTGTTGTGAGTCCCTCTTCAATGGAGATTCCCCTTTGAGTTGATTTGTCAAGTGTCAATATTCACTCTTCGTCCTTCGGAAAATACGGGGACCCGCAGCAACGAAGCAAGAATCATCCGAATTACGCGCTTACTGCGCCCCGCGCCTTTGCGTGAAAGGAAAACCCTGCGTTGGTTGAGGCAGTGCTGGCTTAAGCTTCATCAAGCCTCAATCAAACCTTAGCTTGCATCTGGGATACGCCGACCTGAAAAACTTTAACGATGCACTCTTAAAAGGCTCAAACTTGCGCAAGGAAGGACCGCACACTTTGGGCACTACTTTCGCGATGTGCGGTTGCAGCTGTTGAGCTGGATGGAGCTTTCTGCCGAGCTTGGCGAGCCCTTCCAATTTGGGACGATCCTGGTGCGAAAACTTGCAGGCTACTTCCGCTCCGAAAAGGTATTGCTGCTTCTCCGCTTCTGGAATGTGCTGTCAGGAGGTATCATTGGTTGGCAATTTGCGTTTTCCTCGCGAGGGCCATGCTCACGCTCGCCAATGCCGCGTCGGCCACCATGGTGCCGCCATCTGTGGCCCAGTCGTGTGTTGCAAGTTTGCCATACGAAAGCCATCCCGCGGATGTGCAAGCCAAAGGAAGTAGCCCTATAGTGGGTGGGTCGCCCCTGCGGAAGGTTATGATGATGAAACGTGTGGGGCGCGAAAGCGCAGCCCACAGAGCAGTACTTTCTGTGCACGTCACCATGAAACGTGATTGTCATGGGCCCACAACCCTCGCGCCTGCGGCATCATGCACTTAGGGCAAGGTGGGGCTGGCAAGAACGCCGAGCAAGCGCCATTCTCTGCTCCGCAACTGTTGACAGCGGGCAAACGCCCCGCGAGCAAAGCCTGGAGGCTCCTTGCGCGAAGGAGCCTGGCAGTTGGCATCTTGTAGCTGTTTGCTTTGCTGCTGCCAGCTTGCCAGTGACCTCTTCTTGCGTGTGATCACGAAGCCGGACAGCGGCCCCCCCCATAGGAGCACAAATAAGAGCTCTAATTGAGAACAAATGAGGTGATGTGTTTGTTTGATTATTTGTTTGTTCTGTGGAAAGGCGCCACGAAAGCCACGAAAACGCGCAAAAGCCACAAAAGCCAAAGCCAGCCCAGGGAAAGCAAAAGACAAATCCGAACATAATAATATCAAATCAAAAACAAAAACAAAAAACATTGCCCTCCGTATTTCATTACAGAATCGCTATATTGAATACATGTCAGATCTTGTTGGAACATCAGCTTCATTCAAACATGCTTGTGTTGCAAGTCGCAAGCATTTTTAGTTGGTAAGTCTTGCAGCCTTCGTAACAGGTATTGGGCATACAGGTTCCATCACTACTGCATCTTCTGCGCTTACAAGGGGGTTCGCTAAATCAGTGGACAGTGGTGATTTTGGGATTGGCCCAAATGTATCCTTCATCGGATTCTCCAAGAGCTTGGATGACTTACAGTATGGACTCTGGACTGCACCAATTCTCAGACTCTCAGTTTTTGCACTCTTCACGGATTTACCTGGGGAATCCCAATCGCGCAGCATCCCTGCCAGATTGACATTCGAAACGTATTTGTTGACGGCCCTGGAACCACCGCGTTCATGCGCAAGGTTTGGTTTCACCCAGTCTGCCAGTGAAACGCTTCTGATCTGTGGCCCGCACATGGCGAAGCGCAGGGCGAGCCTCCCGGGCCTCATTGGCAAAGGCCTTGTGATCATTGAAAAAGTGGGGACCCCATCTCTGAATTCCTTTGGCGCCCAATTCCGGCCTTCGGGGGAGGCCAGGCGGAATTATTCAAATCAGGAAACCGCCAATCCCAAATCCGGTCGCGGAACAACCCCATAATCTGGGGCCGGACCCAACATGTGCCTTCTTTGGTGGTTGTGCAGGGAAGCGAAAGCGAAACTAAACACTCCAAATCTTCAAGTTTGAGACACACCCACATGTCAACTTTAAAGAGGAGGGCCTTTGGCTCTCAAAGCTACAAAGTGGCCACGCCATTCTGATGCAGACGGTACTCCCCCTAAGGATGTTCAAAGTGCACGGCCCTTGGAAAACGCGTTTCCTCTGTGAAAGGGGTCCTGCGCACCAAACCCTGAGCGCCTTCAAACATCCGTCACTTTTTTGGGACCCAAAGCTTCTTTGACCCGACTTTGGGTTCCACAAGGGGAGCTCACCTCTCGGGGAAAATGCTCCTATTCAATCCAGGAAACGGTGGACACGGCTGGTTCTTGAGATAAAATATTTTTTGGAACAACATGCCGGAATTTCAAAATGAGCCAAATGTGACCATTCCCCTGGGGGTTTTATTGTTTCTTGGTCCGGAAAGCCAACGTAACAAGTAGCATGGGCTCACCCCAACATCTGCTTCTGCACGCATCTCAGGACCCGCTCCCGCCTTTGCGAGGTGGCGGAGTGGCCAAGTCGGCCTGCCCCGCTTAAACGGAGCAACCGGCCGTCCGGGTGGGCTCTGCTGAGGCAGGTCTTCCAAAGCCAACTCCGAAAAAAGATACCAAAGATACGCAAGCACAAATTGGCGGGTGTGCAACAAGAATGATGTGGGGGGGGGGTGCGGGGGGGGGCGCCTTGAACAATATCCAAAGAGGGTCATGCGATGTGTTTGCATCCCCCACCCCCCCCCCCACCCGCCCGGGCAACAAGTGCACCCCGCCTTGCGACTCTTCTTGGGCTTCTTGGCTTTTGGGACGGGGCCTGCAAGCCAAGGAACGCGCTCTTTGCTTCGGGCCGAGACTCGGGTCCACACCGCTGGGCCAAGTGTTGGTCACATGCCACCGAGCACCCAACTGCACAGCTGCCCATCAGCCTGAGCCTCGGAGCTTGGCCGTTGCAACGGAAAATCAGATACCACCCTAAACATGACCAAAAGGCATGCAGGGCGCGTGGACCAGCCCTCAGAAAACATGAAGCATGGCGGTAGAAGATAACCTTTCCAGTGGCTCTGTTGCGCATGACTCACTAATGATTGCGGGATCACTTTAGAGCGGACCCCCTTAATGTCACAAAAACTTGCCACTTGAAGCGCGAATGTCCACAACCGCGCCTTCGTCGCTTGACCAAGCTTCAGTGCCTGGATTTTATTTGGCATCCCACTTGAGGGGCTCAGGTGCCAGCCAGAGCCGTCAGCTTGGATGGAGTTGAGGCCTCCTGATCATCCTGGTCACCCGCGCTGTGACGCAAGACGTACGCGCCCCAGAGTTCAGCATGGTTCATCTGTTGCAAGGCCGCTAAGGGGAATCCAGGACAAATCATGCCCTGGCTGTCTCTTTTCCTAGGGGAGTTCCCTTTGTAGAGGAAATTATTTGTTGTTTGGGAAACACACGCCTATGAATCCACTAGGTTGATTCATCGTTGGCATGATCGTCTTCTGCCTCCTCGGCCTCTTTCTCGATCTCTGCATGCATATGGCGACCTGGTCACGAGGCAACTCCGTGGTGTTGTTTGTTCGCGTTTGTTGCAAGTTCAACTGCGTAGCACGCAAATCAGTATGATTTTGAAGCTTAATCAAACCGAGGTTTGGAACCCCCCACAAGCAACCTAAAAAGAGAACCCGTCCCTGATAAATTCGGAGCTTCCTTTCAAACAAATGCAGCCACGTCTCAGCAAACCAGGAAAAAACTGGCATGTATGACCATGCATTCCCTTTAACAGAGACAACCTTAAGCAACAGGCGGTGCTTCAACCGCCCAACCGCCCAACGACCTTCCCCCCCCCCCCGCCCCCCAAATCGCCTAGTGAGGCCGATGCCACGAGGCCCGGCTGAGAACCGAAAGCGGCAGGCCGCCGATGCGAAGCTCAGCTGCCCTTTGTGGATTTCCCCGGGGAAAAAAGGGCCTTGGCACCCGATGTTTGTTGGTTGAGTTTAAAGGAACCAGAACCCTTTCCCAAGAAATGGTGAAAAAAGGGGGCGAAATCCATTGGGCAACTGAGTAAGGGTTCCCTTTTTCATTTGCCCAGCTCAAGTTGGTAAGTATGATTCACCAATCTGAAATACAGAAGCAGGGTGAGGAACCTTGGAGCTCGATTTACCCCCGTGGGCTGGTTATAACTTGCCCATATCTATTCATAGGTTCATGCATGTTGTTTTCAACACCTACCCTGCTGCAAATACTTAAGGAATTGAAACAAAAAAACGCGGTACAGGAATCTCATTTTCGTGATGCCATTTGGGTTCCATGCTTCTTTGCATGGGAGTGTTCAAAGGTTCTTCGCTGACAAGAGCCAACACATTCGTTTCTTCATGGGTCCTCATCCAAATGGACCTGCACAAGCTTTCCGAGGACGAGGAACGCAAATGGCAGGCCGTCAACGACTATACTAGCATAGAGCCGCGCAACACTTCAAGCCAATTCCACTGAGCAAACTGAGAGCCTTGAAAACCAAGTTAGTTGGTTGGGGCACCCACGTAACAACCATTGTCAAATCAGGGCCACAATCACCACACCTATGCTTTACACACCGCAGGCAAGCAAACCAATGGGAACAACATACACAACATAAAATAGAATCAAGCAAGCATGCAGTCACCGAGGTGGCCCTCCACAATACACGGGTCCTGGGCTCTTGGTTCTAAAAAGCAAGCACGCAAATTTGAATCCCATCGAATCTCCTCCAACGCAAACTCCTTTTGCTGGGGGTGATTCACCTAATTCCTCCAGTGGAGAGGATAGAATAAGGGTACCCTTTTTCCTGTAGTCTATTTTAGTAGGAAAACCCTCCCCCAAAAAAGGGGGTAAAAGGGCACTACCGGGGGACCTAGTCACTTTTCGGTTGGATCCCATCAAGTAAAACAGAAGAAACATTGTCGAGATGTGGTTGCTTCCTCTGAGGAAGGCTGTTCAGTCATCGATCGCCCTGGCAGCTTTTCGGCTCAAGCGATTCCTGTATGGCAGCTGCGTTTGCAGTGGCCCAACATGTGCAAGCTACGGACAAATGCAGTATGGCTCGGTAAGGCAGGAAAGCCCAGACTTCTGTTTAAGGCCATGTGTGCCGTGTTGTGCCGTGTTCAAAGTTCCTTGGAGCCATGGTCTTAGCTACCTGAAAAGGAAACCTTGTGAACTTAGCAATGGTGTCTCTGCTTGTTTGTCTGTGCGTGCGTGTGTTTGTAGGGTAGTACCCTTTGGGGGGTATTTTTGAACGGGCACCATCTTGGGGGTATCCCATTTTAACGCATGCCCAAGCATGATGCCCGTCCTAGATATGTGGTAACATGCCCCATGCGCGGAACTTCAAGCGTTCATTGAGAAACCCACATCTTCACTGCCCCGGTTGGCCAATACTGGCCAACCGCGGCTCGCAAGCTGACCCGATGGCTATCTCCAAAGGCTATGTGTCAAAATGCGGGGGATCCAAAACATGTGGATTTCGCGTTGGTGTCAACAAAAACAGTCAAAAGGGTACCCTCCAAAAGACCCAGACCCAAATATATACCATAAAAGGAACTGGAACGACTGAAGGGAGCGCCTATGCATGGGAAGGCGAACGGAAGAATAGACTTTCTGGAGCAGAGCTGCATACGTCTAGTGCATTCCACAAGGCTTTGGAAGACTTTCATAGAACAGTTCCTTCAGGGCAGTTGATTTCTTTGGGCACCGTTGACGGACAATTTATATCCACAATGCACCAACTGTTCTTGAAGGATTCCGTCAAAATCCATTGCCTGTCCACATCCATGACTGGAAAAAGGGTTGCTGGAAGTCGAATGCCAAAACATTTATGGGCTCGTCTTCTTGAAGTTGAACTGTTGTTGGGGGCATGAAGGCCGTTGACTTTGAGCGGGATACTGGACCAGGCTTTCTTGTCCCACGTCTCCATGTCTGTCGGTCACTCTTTGGCCCGGCTGCACCGGCTGCACCGCATTTTTTTGGAACTCGCTTCAAGAAGCTTCACCAGCGGTCCTCAAGACTGACATTTGAAATTGGAGTCGCACTGTGGATGGACGAAATCAAACACCGGTTGATGGTTTGTCTGAGTATTCATACATCCATCCCAACTGGTGGGGCTTCTGTTGGGATTTCATTTTGAGGGCCCTCGAGTTCAAACATGGATCCTCCAAATTAACAATTATGTCGGCCAGTCCTTTCGGGGAAATGCCAAAACATGTGCTATAGTAAAGAAACCAGGGACCCGTTTTTTCCCTTAACTCACGCCGACCGAGGTACAGTGGGTACATGTGCCAACTAGGACATGACCCGTGACTCATCATAAGCCATGCCACCGGAAGTGGAAATGTTTCCGAGATGAAGTGGAACGGGGGGCTGCCCATGCAGTTAGGCATGAGGGAAAAAGCCTGTATCGTGATTTGTCTCTATGAGGAAACTCGCTCGACACCTGCACTTAGAGCAGGAGACGCGCAAACAGCCACCAATGACCAGGAGTTTAGGGGCACGGCCAGGTGCGCGTTGGACTGCGGCTTGACAGGGCCTGACGCGCAAAGTGCCTGGTCTCGTCCTCTCATCGCAAAATTTCCGGGGTCATGATATTTATCATCCCAACCATTGCACAATTCCAGACAAAGCGATCGACCTGGCAATGAAATTGCAGGGCTTCATCCGCAAACTGCACAATCGCCATCAAACTACGACAATGAGTTAATGAGAGATATTGGATAGATAATTGTAGCAGTGTTCCTTATGGGTATGGTACAGCTTAAGCAATCGCCTCGGCTCTGCGGCTCTGAGGCTCGTGCTTTGAGGGCTTGTGCTCTGAGAGCTTGGACGGATCGTCGCCTCGCGCGACGGTCCGAACTCCGTGGGACTCCGTTTCGAGGGGATCTTGGAGTAGAACCGCCAGGTCACCCTCTGAAGGAAAATCCAAAGGAGGCTGCTTAAAGGTGCCTCTGAAAAGAACAATTTTAGGGAAATTTATCCTGGTTTGCGAAACATGCCAGTTCTTTCTCTCTCTCTCTCTCTCCCTCTCTCTCTACGCGCCATCTCCTGGTCAACTGGCGTATGTCACCATGTTTTGCGCCACGCAGGGCCTCCCTCGGACTTCAAATAGGGGAGCGACTGTGCGTGGCCTCCAAATGAGGAACCCGACCTACCTGTGCACATCCTGCGATTTTCGTTTATAAAACAGAAAGGGGTACCCTTGAAGAAAAAACAACGCACACAACTCGCAAAAAAAACAGGTTAACCACGTTCCTGCCTTGCTGCTGGGGCTGCAGCCACTTTCCTGGCACGAGCCCACGGAGAAGAAATCCGACGTGGGTGTGACCTTGTTTCTTCTTGAAAACCGTATACCCCTTTTTCGTGGTTTAAAAGATGGGGCGGGTCCCCAAAAAGGACACGCCCCACAACATGTATCTTCCAGAACCGAGCGCTTCTCAAATAAACGCGCGAGCGGAACATAGCGCTCATCGAAAGATTCAGGCACAAGTCAACTCACAATCGAACCCACAAACTGACATGATCTTAACTTGCCCTCCTGCAAATGAGCACTCAAGCCCAACAAATACTTGCAGACGCGTTTTCTTTTCTTTCTAAAAAAGAAATGGGGGAAGGACCTCCTTCTCGGATCCACGATGATGAGATTCATGCACACGCATTTACAAACACAGAGAGAGCCAAGAAACCTCAAGGTTTGCCGTTTCACACTCTTGCACCCCCCCCCCAAAAAAGAAAAAGAAAACAAAAAAACAACCAAAAAAAAAAATGCCTCCCTTGAAGAGGGTTTCGGTCCTTTCAATAACCCGCTAGATTAAAGACTTGTGAGCATATGTTCAGAGTCTGCTTCATACTTGCCCGCCCTTCAAAAAAAGCAATCACATCTTGGAGGACGCCCCCCCCTTGAAGGGGGACTCGGTCCTTTCAAGAACCCTCTAGATTGAAGACATCTTGGAGGACGATTCTTGGTTGCTGTTGACCCCCCTGCAAAAAGTTTAACTTTTTTTTGGGGGGGGGGTTAGTGGAAAACACCTTTATTTCCCAAAAAGTTAAAGTCTAAAGATCCAACCCAATAGCAGTCAAGGAGTCTGATTCCATGGTCAGCCTAATGTTTACATCCAGCCCCTTGGCTCTGGGCCTCTCCCCAGGTCCGCGCCGCCTGCAGGGCCTGTGCCATGGAAGACATCCCTCAAAGGGCCTCAAACCCACCTGGACGTGTCTGTTTTGGCACTTTTTGGGGCCCTCTGAGGCACACAAGCACTTCTTCTCTTCTTGTTGGACCTATTTGTCCAGTGAGACCCCCCGTGCTCGCCAAACGTGGGGGTTAGTCAAAGCGACCCAAAGGGAGCTGGGCCTGGTGGGTCTCATGGTCTGCTTATTGCCGTGAGACATGCGCGGACACTTGTGGCTTCCGAGCGCGACCAAACAAAAAAGGTGATTGGACAATGGCTGAATGCTGACACCTTGGCCAGGCTGCATCCGTTTTACCAGCCCGGGACTTCAAGAATTTGCATACATCAACACCAATGCACTGCCTGCGTGTCCAAACCCGAGCCAAATGTTGCCACCCCTGTCTTACCTGCCTTCTGACGCAAACAATAGGTTGGCGTTGGAACAAAACATCCCCCCCCCCAAAAAAAGAAGAAAGCACACAAACTGGAACCCTGCACGCTCCGAACACCTGATTCGGCCCCTAGCAAAGCAACACTTGAAGGACACCAAACGAATGTTCGCCCGGTACGTTCACTCGGCTCTTTTCAGCACCGCAGGTCTTGGGCGTCGACTTGTCTGCTAAATCAGCAATACCCGGAAACAATCAAACATCTTCCAGAATCCAGCTACTCCCCACCAGCACCCGGGGAACAAGTGGGGCCAGCTCCTGTAAAAAGGGCATACTTTATTCAACACATGTTGCACTTTGCCCAGACGTAAATGCAAGTCGCGACCGCTTTGCGAAGCTTGTCACTGGAGGCTGCCTCACATCGAAGGCCATGACCTCTGTGAAAGTCACTTCCAGGACCACTCCAAGTCACAAAGCCGCTTGCCCTATGAACGTGCGCTTCAAGTGCACTCTGCAGTGGCCCAAACTTCAAAAAAGTCAGATCGCCACCAAGCTTTGCAACGCTACCTTGACCCTTCCATTCAGAAACTGCTGATAAACTGACATTCTCCGGAAAGGAAGGCATCAAATTAATTCATTTTAGGGAATGCGACACCCAAAGAGCGGGAACGCAAAGGCTAACCCAAATCGGCGCGCAAGGAGTCACGTCTTTTGCTTTTTTCCCCGATGCTCCCGTCGCCTCAGGCGAATGGCCCACTCAAGAGCCGAGATCATGGGACCACTCAGACTACAGAAGCCTCCCGTGGTTAGAGGGTTAGGATAGAGGAATAGATACAGCTGGGAAAACCATGATACTTTGCCAACCGAAAAATAAGCCCGCCTAGTGATATCTCTACAATTTGCCCAACAACCAACTGTTTCACAAGATCGTCTAAATCAGCATGTCTCACGATTGGTTGGTTCCAACTGAAGGCTACTCGCCAACGTCCAGCCACTCAATCACGGCAGCAGTAACTTCCGTAGCATCCGTGGCGTCCTGCAAACACCCGCCAGTTGGGGTCTCACATTGGCAAACCCTGGGTTTTGATGGTGTATGCACGGAGACCAACTGGAAACCTTCAAGTCTCAATGAATAAATAAGTATATATACATATACATATACACATACATATGTATGTACACATATGTCCTGACTCCTGACCCAGTTAATGTTCGGGAACACTTGTTTGTTGCAGTTTCCCAGGCGTGTTGCTAGACAATTTCTCTGGCCCCCAGGTAAATATCCAGTTGCCAAGGTTTAGCATCTGCGGCTCAATTATGTTGCAACCTAAGACTGAGCTGCTTACTCTCAAGGACTTTTCTTCCAAAGTAGGTTGGCCCGACCTCCACGGTCCAAATCTCATCACCGGGAACCAATCATATTAGCAGATGGTTCCAACTATGGAAATGTCAACCATAGTTCCATCGTGTGGTCACATCGCCCTGAGATTGATGTCCACAAAGGCATCCTGTTTTTTTTGGGGGGCTTCCCTAAAAGCCATAAAATCCCATTGCTTTTCAATATATGTTTTTGAATTGGGGGGGGGGGTCCCTTTTAAAAGGAGGGTCCTTTGGAACAAATGGGGGGGTGTGCCCCGCAAAATAACGAAAAAAAACATCCCGTTCCCCGAAAAAAGAGATGACTCTCCTTGAGGTCCAGCGTGTCCCCGGTGATGGGGCACCGGCCCTTGGACCGGCGGTGCCACTTCTCCAAACTCCGTCGGCTGAAGGCCACTGGGTAGTGGGCCACCTGGCTGCCGGGGATGTAGACCGGGTCCATCATCAGCCTCCAAGGTTTTCCAGTGCTTGTCTTGTGTTTGTTTGGTTTTGTTTTCTTGGGGGGGAGCTGCTTTTGTCTTTGTTGTGCCGGGTAGGGGGGCCTCGGAATTGTCTCCATTTCCTTTGCTTGAGGGAAGGCTGTTGTTTTTTGGGCGCGACCAAGGAGTGGGAAGCGCGTGATTGCAGTTCAGCTTTGGGGGAAGGGCTTTTTTAAGGTGGTCTTTGGCATTGTTTGTTCAAGGTAGAGTTAAACCAAGGGGGGTCCCTTGTTCAATAGTCAACCTTTCTGGGTTTAAGTCTCTCTTGGGACACTCAAATTACCCGAGCCCTGTGCCCCGTGCGGACATGCAGGCAATCCTTCCTGAACTGTGTTGCGGGAGGGTTCCCAAATCAGGACTGACAGGCTTGCTCCAAACACTGGTTTCAGGGAATGGGACTTGATCCTAAGGACCTGTGCCCATTGGGCGACCGGAATGGCTTGCCTCGGAGCTGTCACTTTGAGTTCCGAAGCTCTGGGAGCAACTCACTGCCGAACGAGTCCCAACAAAAAACGTGTTTCTTTACCACTGGAATGGTCCAAACCCCCAAAAGTGACCAAAGTTTGGGGTTTCAGGTTTTTTTTCGGATTTCAGGAAAACCTGAGGCAAGCCTAAACCTACCCCGACCACCCATTCACACTCCCCGCTAGCTCGAAACCGAACGAGTGAGTAAGGCACATCCCGGAGATGCCGCAGCGCAGAGTGCCAGGGGCCCTCAGCAGCATCTGCGCGCTGCCGCGCTGCTCCGGCGCCTCCTCCTCCCCTGCCGCCGCCAAGATCGGTCCGAGTCCGACGACTTGGGCCGCACGTCTTTCAAGCGGAAGGCCTTCAAAATTGGTATCACAGGCCTTTTTCCAAGAAAACCTAATTACCCTTGCTGCCGGTGCTGCAAAGGAAATGAAATGGCACACCAGCGAACTTTTGCGAAGCTTATTGAATCTTCTTTGGCTCACCCAGAGCAAAGTCACCCAACAAGCCAGCAGAAATCTGAAAAGCGTGCCTACGCATTTCATCCCTCACTTGGTGGGGTGACTGGTTGTGGATGGTATGGAACTAACCGCCTAACCCTCCCTGATTTTGGCGGTTGGGCCAACTGCTCAACAATTTGGTGTTGCAACTCAGCCCACTGACCCCGAAAAAGGTATTCTGGCCCCGTAACCCTGAAGGATATAGTGGCCTTGCCCTATTACGCTGGTCCCAGTCCACTCTGGTTGGGGATGATGGTTTGTGGGGAAACGGGTGGATTCCCGAAACCCGAGCGAACCGTGCACTCTCTCCTGCTTCCAGCGGCCAGGGGCTAATGGTCACCATCTCCGGGGATGCGTCGCGCCAACTGTCCCAGCAGTCGATGCAGTACCAAAGCCCCTCGAAGTAGCCTTCTCCGTACCTTGGCAATGGTTTCCACTGCCACCCAACCACTAAGTCAACAAAAAAACGCAGAACGAAGCGCATTGCCCGAACAAAAAAGCCGAGTACAAAACCACGCAGGCTTGTGCAATCCGGTCCTCATGTGCGAGAGTCTCTCAAAATAACCAAAACGCGCCCAACAGTTTGCAGAACGGCACCATTGAGGTTGACATTGGTGCCTGCCCTTCGCAATAGATAATGACGCAGCGACATGTAATTCTTGCTTGGTTCAAGCGCGGAGCGCTGAATGATGCCCTGCCAGGGTTGTGCCCCTCCCTTCATCCCACACATGTGAGGGCAATTCTAAGAATTGGGAATACATGGTATGTGCTTGTGTTTGAGGTGTATCCTTATTGGGGTTGTTTCAAAGAACACCTACCATTTTGAGGGGCATGCTTGAAATGGAAACCTCAAGGACAAATCAACACTAAGCCACTGCAAGCTACCTAATGCTTTGTGTGTTCAAGTGCTTGGTGGTGTCAAGTGGCAGTCCTTGTATGATCCTGTGAAGGAATACCATTTGATCAGAAAGAGTCATCGTGGGGCCTGCGCTTTTCAAAACAACTCCAACTCTATGCACCTAGCCTAAGCCACATGACCTCGGACACTCTGTGTTGTTGTTTGTTATCGATGGTTTGTGCTTCTGTTGTAAAAGGTGTGAAACCTTCAAGATGTCCAACAAAATCAGACCCTAATTGAGCCAACCTGGATACATTGCAAGTTCTCCATAAAACACAGACCGTAAGTCAGACAACATGGGTACATATCTGAAACGTTGTGTTTGTGTAAGGAAAACACGAGTTGTTGTGTGCATGTGTTGGCAACGTGTGAAAAACAGTTTGTCTGTTTAAAAACAGTCAGACCCAAACTCGGCCAACCTGGACATAGGGTCAGACATGTTGTTTTGTGTTTGCTTCTTTCTCGGAAAAATACATGGCTAGCACACGCTAGAAATACGTGGGCATCAGGCTAGACATATGCACCCAAATGCTCAATGTTTGCCAGGCTTAGTAGACATATATGCTGGACACATGCATATTGTTGGCAAAGTACTACGCAGAAAAAAAGCTGACCCTGGCAAGCACACGTGGGCACGGACAGTTCGGTAGATATGCACCTGTCATGCTAGACACATGCTAGATACATGCTAGACACATGCTGGGCTTGGCACCTGGTTGAAAACACGTGGGAAGTTTGATTGCCGCATTAACGTCGGAGCTATGATGCCCAAGCTAGGAATATTGTGGATATATGTTGGGGAGCAGACTTTTTTTGCCAATCGTGAAACACATGCTGGATATAGACTAGTAAGCAAAACACAACTGTTAGACAAAGAATACAAGC